CGTATGAAAATATTTAAACGATAAGAACAATATTAATATTATCAACTACTGTATTGTCTCTGGAGATTGTTTTGTTAAATACTCTGCAGATATAAACATAAACCATTTTCCTTTAACTTATCAAGATAAAAATATATAAAATACCAAATGATTTATCTGTGCAAAAGCAATAAATAGAATTATTATTTAATGAGTCTACCCATACACGTGAAGGACGGAAATGTTGTACTATTTCTAGCAGTTCATGTTTAGACCAAATATATATATTTCGACAGTGGGACTAAGGATAAATAGAGGTTATCACGCGATTGTGTTTTGGGATGGTTAATATCCTGTATTAGGAATAAGCATTGTATCTATTGAGCCTGGGAGAGCGAAATACACCGTGTTGTATTCCTTATACAGGATATTTACCATCCCCAAACACACAAGCGTGATAACCTCTTATGATTTAATGTCATTCTTTAATTCTGTGCTCGAAAAATATCTTTCCATGTCAAACAAAAATACCTTAACATTGGAAGATCTCCTAGAAAGTGCGCATTAATATATATTACGTCAAAAGGTAAGTAATGTGTCAGTCGGATAATGACAACAGTCAATATAGTTCCAACTGAAACCTGTTTCTTAGACAGTGGCGTAACTACATATAGGCAAAACAACAATTGCCTACACAAAGTGTTTCTACTTGCATTTCACGATAATCCATCGGTCTGTCCGCTAGAGTAACTGCCCTTTATCAAAGGGACGCTACTCCAACCCTAGTCTATGAGACGGCACGTCTGTTTAGCGTCTGCCTGTCCTGTCATAACGTTACGAAGTGCAGTCAGATGTACACACAGCGACAAAATGAAGCAAGGTAACTATTTCGACCAGATCCAACTGTTTTAATTGGGGGGGTAGGTTCCAAACCGCAGAGGCCTACCAGCACAGATATGGAAACTGATCCCGTTAGTCTAGTGTCGTCGCTAATTTATATCTTACTCAAACTTGTAAAATGGCTCAGCTACGCCACAGTTAGACACTGCTTTTCAGTTTCCTGGACTGTTCTTTTGATAATTATAGCAAGTATTCCAGTAGTTTCTCCAGATTCCCGATGGTTTATTCTGATCGCCGAATGACAAGGGCGACGCAATGTTTGTTTGTAAGCATTGAAAGTAGTCCCTACTTGACCTTTGATATTTGCATCTCTATCCGCATATGACCCAAACGGATATCGTTTTCATCCGATGGGTTTTTCCTGCCGAGAAACCTACCCATTATATGATAAAGACTTGTACACGTGGTTGTGTCGCCAGGATGTTCGTGACATGCACACTAGTGTCCCCACGTTTTTGACTGCCTGTGACTGTTTAAGTCGGAAACACAGTTCGGCAGATGTATCGCCTGCGTATCGCTGAACGATCGGGGCACAGTGACATGCCAAAGTAATTTGTATCGTTAGACTGTCAAAAGTTAGAAGATATTTGCAGGTGCGAGTGCATCGTACCATTTACTCTGATATATATATATATTTAACATGGGGTGTGGGGGACGTTTTCGACAACTCTTGTAGCCATGACCCTGGTGCGGTAAGCAGGACATGCAGTAAGCTTAATGAAGGCACAAGAATAGTTGGGTTATGTGTGAATTGCAAGAAGAGAATTATTGATCTTTCGGCGAAACAGATAAACTGTCATCTGAGCTGTCATCTGCCTCGTCGCCTGGCTAATAGATGGGGGAAGCTGCTGTATTTCTGGAAGCTACCGCCTCTTCACCTGATCATTTGATGTGTTTTGATGTGTATGAAACACACGCGTAACTCACATTTGCGCAGTAGCGTTTCAAAGCGTCCAATTTAAATAGTTGATATAGTTTCAATACACTGTATATTCTTTGTTCATCCAATGTTAAAATGTGTGAATATTGACATTGCTAAACGTTCTTAAAAAAATGTATAAAACGCAAAGTTGGATGGCGCATCATTTTAGCTATTTGTTTGTTAGTTAAAAAATGACGTAGAATAACATACATATATCGCGTTGACATAGAGATGACAGATCTTGGACATTGGATTATCAACCCATTCAAGTACCTGAGGCTGTCCCTTATAATATCTGATACTTTGCTGACAAAACACAAAATGACAAGTTCAAAAGTGTAGAGGTGTCGAAATATTACGACATTCTTCTGTTACCTTAAACATGAATCAGGCAACAGAGATGCTATGTTTACTCACAGGTTACAGGTTACAGTGATATATATTATATATTTTCACAAGTACGCTGAGTATGTAAGACTACATCACAATGGACATTTGTCATTAACAAATAGCCAACTTTGAAGCACAACAATAACTGGCTCATCCTATATACATGACATTATGAAACAGTTACAGAGTAACACAAGGTTCGGGCCTTACTGTCACCTCCATCCCCTCCTACACCAGTGTCACCCAACCCTCCTACACCAGTGTCACCCAACCCTCCTACACTAGTGTCTCTGTCACCTCCACCCTCTCCTACACCAGTGTCACCCAACCCCCTCCTACATCAGTGTCACCCCACCCTCCTACACTAGTGTCACCCCAACCCCTCCTACACCAGTGTCACCCCACCCTCCTACACCAGTGTCACCCAAACCCTCCTACACTAGTTTCACCCCAACACCTCCTACACTAGTGTCACCCCAACACCTCCTTCACCAGTGTCGCCCAACCCTCCTACACTAGTGTTTCTGTCACCCCACCCTCCTACACCAGTCTCACCCCACCCTCCTACACTAGTGTTTCTGTCACCCCACTCTCCTACACCAGTGTCACCCCACCCTCCTACACCAGTCTCACCCCATCCTCCTACACTAGTGTTTCTGTCACCCCACCCTCCTACACCAGTGTCACTCCACCCCCTCCTACACCAGTGTCCCCCCACCCTCCTACACCAGTGTCACCCAACCCCCTCCTACATAAGTGTCACCCCACCCTCCTACACGAGTGTCACTCCACCCTCCTACACCAGTGTCACTCCACCCTCCTACACCAGTGTCACCCAACCCCCTCCTACATAAGTGTCACTCCACCCTCCTACACTAGTGTCTCTGTCACCTCCACCGCCTCCTACACCAGTGTCACCCAACCCCCTCCTACACCAGTGTCACCCCACCCTCCTACACCAGTGTGACCCCACCCTCCTACCCCTGTGTTTACCCCACCCTCCTACACCAGTGTCACCCCACCCTCCTACACCAGTGTCACTCCACCCCCTCCTACACCAGTGTCATCCCACCCTCCTACACCAGTGTCAACCCACCCCCTCCTACACAAGTGTCACTCCACCCCCTCCTACACCAGTGTCATCCCACCCTCCTACACCAGTGTCACCCCACCCCCTCCTAAACCAGTGTCACCCCACCCCCTCCTACACCAGTGTCACCTTACACCCTCTTACACCAGTGTCACCCCACCCCCTCCTACACCAGTGTCTCCCCATCCCCTCCTACACCAGTGTCATCCCACCCTCCTACACCAGTGTCACCCAACCCCCTCCTACATAAGTGTCACTCCACCCTCCTACACTAGTGTCTCTGTCACCTCCACCGCCTCCTACACCAGTGTCACCCAACCCCCTCCTACACCAGTGACACCCCACCCTCCTACACCAGTGTCACTCCACCCTCCTACACCAGTGTCCCCCCACCCTCCTACACCAGTGTCACCCAACCCCCTCCTACATAAGTGTCACCCCACCCTCCTACACCAGTGTCACTCCACCCTCCTACACCAATGTCCCCCACCCTCCTACACCAGTGTCACCCAACCCCCTCCTACATAAGTGTCACCCCACCCTCCTACACCAGTGTCACTCCACCCTCCTACACCAGTGTCACTCCACCCTCCTACACCAGTGTCACCCAACCCCCTCCTACATCAGTGTCACCCCACCCTCCTACACCAGTGTCACCCAACCCCCTCCTACACCAGTGTCACCTACCCTCCTACACCAGTGTCACCCCACCCCCTCCTACATCAGTGTCACCCCACCCTCCTACATCAGTATCACCCCACCCTCCTACACCAGTGTCACCCCGTCCTCCTACACCAGTGTCACCCCACCCCCTCCTACACCAGTGTCACCCCACCCCCTCCTACACCAGTGTTACCCCACCCCCTCCTACACCAGTGTCACCCCACCCCCTCCTACACCAGTGTCTCCCCATCCCCTCCTACACCAGTGTCACCCCACCCCCTCCTACACCAGTGTCACCCCACCCCCTCCTACACCAGTGTCTCCCCATCCCCTCCTACACCAGTGTCATCCCACCCTCCTACACCAGTGTCACCCCACCCCCTCCTACACCAGTGTCACCCCACCCCCTCCTACACCAGTGTCACCCCACCCCCTCCTACACCAGTGTCACCCCACCCCCTCCTACACCAGTGTCACCCCACCCCCTCCTACACCAGTGTCTCCCCATCCCCTCCTACACCAGTGTCATCCCACCCTCCTACACCAGTGTCACCCCACCCCCTCCTACACCAGTGTCACCCCACCCCCTCCTACACCAGTGTTACCCCACCCCCTCCTACACCAGTGTCACCTCACACCCTCCTACACCAGTGTCACCCAAACCTCCTACACCAATGTCACCCCACCCCCTCCTACACCAGTGTCTCCCCATCCCCTCCTACACCAGTGTCATCCCACCCTCCTACACCAGTGTCACCTCACACCCTCCTACACCAGTGTCACCCAAACCTCCTACACCAATGTCACCCCACCCCCTCCTACACCAGTGTCTCCCCACCCCCTCCTACACCAGTGTCATCCCACCCTCCTACACCAATGTCACCCCACCCCCTCCTACACCAGTGTCTCCCCATCCCCTCCTACACCAGTGTCATCCCACCCCCTCCTACACCAGTGTCACCTCACACCCTCCTACACCAGTGTCACCTCACACCCTCCTACACCAGTGTCACCTCACACCCTCCTACACCAGTGTCACCCAAACCTCCTACACCAATGTCACCCCACCCCCTCCTACACCAGTGTCTCCCCATCCCCTCCTACACCAGTGTCATCCCACCCTCCTACACCAGTGTCACCTCACACCCTCCTACACCAGTGTCACCCAAACCTCCTACACCAATGTCACCCCATCCCCTCCTACACCAGTGTCACCCCACCCCCTCCTACACCAGTGTCATCCCACCCTCCTACACCAATGTCACCCCACCCCCTCCTACACCAGTGTCTCCCCATCCCCTCCTACACCAATGTCACCCCACCCCCTCCTACACCAGTGTCACCCCATCCCCTCCTACACCAGTGTCACCCAACCCACTCTTAATTCAGTGTCACACCAACCCCTCCCACACCAGTGTTACCCCACACCCTCCTACACTTGTGTCATCGCACCCCCTCCTACACCAGTGTTACCCCATCCACTCTTCCACCAGTGTCACCCCAACCCCTCCCACACCAGTGTCACCCCACCCCCTCCTACACAAGTGTCATCGCGCCCCCTCCTACACCAGTGTCACCCTACCCCCTCCCACACCAGTGTCACCCCCACACACACACACCCCACCCCCACCCCGCCTACACCAGTGTCACCCCACATCCTCCTACACTGGTGTCATCGCACCTCCTCCATCTGTGTCACCTCACCCACTCTTACACCAGTGTCACCCCACCCCCTCCCACACCAGTGTCACCCAAACCCCCTCCCACACTAGTGTCACCCACCCCCTCCTACACCAGTGTCAACCCGCCCACTCTACACCAGTGTCACCCCACCCCCTCCTACACTAGTGTCATCGCACCCCTTTTACATCAGTGGCTCCCCATCCTACACCAATACCCCCCACCCCCTCCCTCTCACTGCCGCTGTGGGAGACTGGCACATCCAACCTACATTTGACCTAATTCACGTTGCAACGCATTTCCCTAGATAACAGTAATTGTATCAGGTGTCCCCATTCTCAGCTGTTTAAAGTGAATGTAATGTGGAAACTGCGGTCATTCTCATAAGACCCAAGTGCAGGATAGTGACACATGGGATCCACGAAGTCCCAGCTGGGCCACACAACGTGGGATGGACGTACGAAACATCCAACTGAACCCAATATTGCCTGCTGCTATTCACCATACTCATTATCACCATATATCCCGCAAAACCGGGATTACATGCCTTGATACAGCCTTAGTAGATGGCAGATCATGCTTCTTGCTTCAAATAATCTCGCTTATCGCTTCATGTCTCACAACAAACCTGCCTGAGATCTCATAATATTGGCTGTCAACATCAATAAAGATGAATTGTAACGTCCTCGATTCTCAAACCATTGTCAACGGTTATCTTACTGTCTGTTTGCAAATGGGTGTGGTGTGGGATGTGAGGTGTGGGTAGGTGTGGGATATGAGGTGGGTGTGGGGGGCTGTGGGTAGGTGTGGGATGTGAGGTGTGGGTGTGGGATGTGAGGTGGGGGTAGGTGGATGTGGGATGTGAGGTGTGGGTGGGTTGGTGTGGGCTGTGAGGTGTGGGTGGGTGGGTGGGGGATATGAGATGTTGGGGTGGGCTGTGAGGTGTGGGTTGGTGGGGGTGGGGTGTGAAGTGTGGGTGGGTGTGGGATATGAGATGTGGGTTGGTGCGGGGTGTGGGTGGGTGTGGGATGTGAGGTGATGGTGGGTGGGTGTGGGATGTGAGGTGTGGGTGGGTGTAGGATGTGAGGTGAGGTGTGGGGTGTGACGTATGGATTGGTGGGAGTGGGATATGAGATGTGGGTGGCTGGGTTGGGTGTGGGATGTGAGGTGTGGGTGGGATGTGAGGTGTGGATGGGATGTGAGGTGTGGTTGGGTGGGTGTGGGATATGAGATGGGGATAGAGTGGTGCAGTGGTGTGGGGGCGACTGTGTCGGTGGGGATAGGATGGTGTAGTGGTGTTGGGGCGACTGTGTCGGTGGGGATAAGATTTTGTAGTTGTGTGGGGGCGACTGTGTCGTTGGGGATAGGATGGTGTAGTGGTGTTGGGGGTGCCTGAATCATCACTGGAATCCTTCACTTAGTGTGAACTTATGCAGTATTACTCTCCAGCATCAGAGTCACTAAGACAGGCAACTTCAGGCTATTTCTACAGAAACAGTTTTTTTATTTGTACTGTGGATCATGGTAGTTTTTTTAAGAAATCGTGTAAGCCAATGTGTGAGTTTTGTTCTACATGGTCTTCACACTAAAGGACAATACACGGAAGGATTTGACACACCAAACCTCAAAGACTAAAAGACTAAATGAATGATGCTAATGAAACAGAACCATCTGACTGTGACATCCCCCCCCCCCCCCCCCCCCACACACACACACACACACACAAAGATATCCTCATAACACCCCACCCCCACCCCCACCAGCCCCACCACCCCCGACAACACATCCATCACCTCCCACCCACACCCAAAGACACAAATTATGAATGGTCCCTAAATCTTTTTAAAAATTGCTTGAATATGATAGTGACAGATTTGGTCCTCCTACTTCTATGCAATAAATGTTCTTGATCTTACACTCAGGCCTAAATATTCTTGTCTACATCAAGAAACGACGGGCACACATCGCTGCCCCTTATTCGGGTCAAAGTTCATGTCAGAGGTTACCACTCACTAACGGCCATCTGAATTTAGGGCGAGAAGATCGGGAACAGTGTTAGCTGATGATATACTGTCAATCTCAATGGACTATAAACATAATACTACCGGCTTCAACAGGCCCCTACCAGGTACGTCTATCATGTTACTATACATGTAAATTTGATGGAATGTGTGTGCATGCTTAAGCTGGTAGTTAACTGTGGTAGCAGTGATGTCAACAGCACGGCGGGAGGAGAGAGGTCGAGATGTACAGCAATATGCTCTGTAAACAGAGCCGACTTGTGTATGTATGACGCCTGCAAGACACATGCAAACACAACTAGCTATTTCCGCCAACACATCACCAGAAGCAGGTACCTTGCACAATCAGTTCGCCAGACATTCACCTGCTGTGAGCGCTTATTTATCTTCATGCGGTAGGCTAGTATGATTCCGGGTGGTTGCCTGTGTGGTAAGATTTTAATATAAAAACAGTTATGTAAATCATGCCTTTCGATTTACAATTTTACCAACTTAACGGTGGAACATTATTTTCACAGTTTACTTGAAAAACTTGGAAATTGCGATGTCCAGCTCGCCTTGCTAGCTCCATGAATAATCTCTATAAACGTCCTCGATGCACATGTTTTTGTTTGTTGTTTAACGCCACACTCAACAATTTCACGGCGGTCTGTAAATAATCGAATCCAGACCAGACAATCCAGTGATTGACATCATGATTATCGATCCATATGATTGGATGACATGCAATCAACCAGGTCACCGAGGCTGACCTCTCGATCCGTTATGTCGCCTTTTACGATTCTCATCCGGAATCCCCACAGGAAGATCACTGTAGCCTTTCCTTACTGACAGTGTTTCTGTTTCATGTACACAGGGACAACCTGCACTTCACATTACATCATACACACATCCAGCTGTAGTTCACTACCAAGGCAAGACAGTTGCGATAACTACCGTTACGTGATAAGAATGCATTAGTACTTGTTTGTTGCACTGCAACACACTGTCACCTGATTGCCGTGTCAACTGGCGAGACATGGATTGGGTAAGCACACATTAAATCCTTTTTTGTCATTGTCTCTGTAACGTCACTCTGAATGACAGCCTACCACCATGACGTCACAAAGCACGTGACATAAGGACACGTTCATTCTAAAGCATTTACACAATTGCCGCCAAGTAACTGCAAACGCACTTTATCTTCATCGCCAACGATGACAACGTTGCTGTACAGTTTCTGTCCTCGCTGACCTTGTTCCATCAGTTACGTATATGTAATGTGAGCTAATGTCACGTGGTCATGTAGTTAGTTACGTTCGAAAGCACAGTTTTAAAGTGCTGTCTATCTGAATTATTAATATATCTGTCTCAATACGACATGTGCCCAGATACATGAAACAAGAAAGCAGCCGAAAGAGAAAATGACAATCAGCGATGCCATTGTTGGATAACACTGACACAGTCGTAGATGACCTTTACATTGAACGCCCAGAAGGGGATATATGTTATTATTTCCAGAGTTGCACTGGTTTGCATCTAATTTAATGTGTACGGAATAGCTCTTGGTTACTTGGAGTGTCACTTATATTTGTATATATTCTTAACCGCAAAAGAAACGTCACCCAAAGTAACATTGCATGAAAAGTTGTCATTTAAATATCTGGGTAATTTTTGTCAAAGTTTCTCAAATTTAACATTACCTTGTCCAGGAAAAATGAATTTGATGATAAAAAAATAAAGCAGATGGCAATAAAACCGATCGCCCAAACGCATCACGGCAACGGCCATGGTAACCCGATGCACGTGAGTTCCGTGCAAATTTAAATGCACATGCGTTCCCCAAAATCTTCCCCTATAAAAGGCCACCCAGATCGGATAACATTCAGTGGTTATTGAATTGCTACGACATGCCAAGATTGACAAGAAATCAGCGACAGCAAGCCCTTGGACGATTGCAAGCTGAACAAACCGCCCGACAAGAAGCCAATGCATTTCAAGTCCACGTTAGGACTATATACAGGCTCCGCAAAGGTAACAGACCACCAACACTACAAATGACCGACCACGTAGTGGAGGACCAAGGGTCACCACCCGATGTCAGGTTCATCAGATTGTGCGACAGCATCTTCAAGATCGCTTTGTTACTGCTGCGGAAACTGCTCGACAGACTATGGGGACACACCAGCGACACATTAGTGCGGACACCGTGCGTCGACGATTGACGAGCAGACACCTCCACTGTCACAGACCACACCGAGGACCAATTCTGACACCACGTCACCCCCGGACCGTCTGCAGTGGGCAACACAGCACCAGCATTGGCGCCATTAGCAGTGAAGAAGAGTCTCAGACGAGAGCCGTTACTGTATCTCAAAAGCAGATGGCAGAGCGAGAGTCTGGCGACGCCGTTGTGAAAGTTATTCGGATGCTTGTGTTGTTGAGAGAGACTCGTGGGGTGGTCCGAGCATCATGGTGTAGGGTGGAATCGGTCTTGCACAGAGGGTCGGCCCTGTGGTCTTCCAGAACATCGGTCCAGGGAGAGGCAATGGTGTCACAGCAGCACGGTACATTGATAGGTCTTGAGACCACACGCCATACCTCATTTGGCACGTCGCCGCAACCACGAGTTTCAGCATGATAACGCCCGTGCCCACACTGCGAGAGCAACGAGAGACTTCCTCCGGCAGAATGGCATCAGAACCATACAGTGGCCTTCCTTCAGTCCTGATTTAAATCCCATTGAACACCTGTGGGACGAGATTCTAAGACAGCTGAATGACGTCCGGCCAAGGCCGACAACTGCAGCTGAACTGCGTCAGGCATTCCTCAGAGTGTGGGCTCAAGTGCCTATGGCCTTCATCAACCGCCTCATGTATCGGCGTTGCACGGCAGTCATCAATGCACATGGCGGACACACGAGATACTGACTTTTGATGCCATTTTCTGTGGTACCTGTGTATTTTACAACCCTGACATTGTCTTCTCTTTGGTACCTCTGTATTACATACATCCCTGACAGTGTCTTCTCTGCGGTATTTGTGTTTTACATACAACCCTGACATTGTCTTCTCTGTGGTACCTGTGTATTAAACAACCCTGACATTGTCTTCTCTCCGGTACCTATGTATTATACAACCCTGACATTGTCTTCTCTGCGGTACCTGT